CTCACTCGTTATATTGACTACATATGGTGTTTCATTTCCTCAACTTCAATAAAGTCGAAGAGTTGCAAAATCGCCACTTCTTTGGAACCTTCGAAAAAAATATTCTTTTCTAAATTTCACGCTTATTTGAGCTCTTACATAATACTTCGGATCTTTAAAAAAGTATTATTTATGAAATGTTTAAAATTTCCACTTTTCTAATGGGTGCGTATACATTGTGACAACACTCATACACACCATATTCCCATATTCCCGCCATTTTATTCACCTATTTACCCTCCGTGCATTTTTTCCGTAAAGTAAACGTTAACTTTTCTGAATGGTAGCATTTAAAAGGCCTTCAATCTATTTTAGTTAACATACATACATCGAAAATGTTTCCTGACAGTCGTCGTTATTTTGCCGTAATTGGCAACTGTAGTAGTTGTAGTAATCGATTTCCGTTTACCCTCACTCACTATGTTGGCCACATATGGTGCTTCATTTCCTCCATTTCAATAAAGCCGAGTAGTTGAAAAGTCAAAAGCTTTCAAGAAGGCATGAAATGTGTAATGGAATAATACGTAAACTAGTTACATGAATTGCATTACAACTTTTTTTTGCATTTTGTTTTGCAGAGGCCGGAAGTATAAACCAGCTTGTGTTTGAGTGCATATAACAACAAAAATATGCAATTGTATTACTGAAGGAATTTCTACCTCATTTTGATCTTCGTCTACCTCTAGTTGAATATGTTGCATTTTCAAATGAATACTTATCAACTATCTGGCCAATGAATATGAAACAAACAAACTCATTCTCTCTGATGCAATTATCCCTGCTATGGGAAAAATATTCATTAATGTATACGTATAAAGTTTAAAATTCATGCATGCCATTGTTTAAACTTTTTCGAATAAATTTCAATTATGTGCATGCAACATAATTCCTTTTGTTTCAAACTAGTTGCATAACTCCTGATTTTTCTACATGCTTCGGTGCAGATTTTTACGAACCCATATCATAAAATGCCAAGTCTAATTGAATTATCTACTGAACGTTGAATGTTAACAGTAGAAACAAAAATTTGTTCGAATAAATGTCATGTGATATAGTTTTTTTATTCGGGTTGTCATGGTGAACTGTTCCATGGGGGAGGTAGGTATTTCGAATTTAAAGAACTTATAAATAATAAATTAAACTTTTTAAAATACCCTAATTTTGTTTAGAAAACTAAAAATAGATATGATTTAACATGAGGCTCATATGGTGCGTATACGTTATGACAGCAATTATACGCACCAGAATGGTAGTAGAGAATTGAAAGAAGTAATATCGAATCTTAATCCCAATTGGCCCAATTAATACAAGAGATCCCCAACAAGACATTATACGAAAATTCTAGCTCGCTACGTGTATATTTTGCGGGTTAGAAATTGAATATAAATCTCTCTAACCAGTTTCTCTTCTCGGCACCCTATCCCTTGTCTGCCTGCTTTTTCGTAAAGTCTGAACCAATTATTTTCAGCTTCTCGATCAAACAATTTCCCTATTTACTTCTCGAAATATTTGTCCGAAAGCATTATCTTTCATGCTGTACCAAATTCAAGCCCCATCATAGCGGCGATTTCCTTCTTCTGCTTGTTCCCAATACTGTATACATGCTTAATTTTATTGGGAGACCCACAGTAAGACCTTCAATATCTTTAAGTATGTTCCCTCTTCTGTCCACCAGTTACATTTTATGGGCACCATAATTTTCCTTCGATTGGTCGTCATCTTTGTTCTCAGTATTTCTCCACCATCTAAATTTGGCTGATTATCCCGATCCCATTTCAAGGATTTATAGGAATGATTTTCTTCAGATTCTCGGTCATACCATTCCCCAATTGGGTTCTCAAGATATTTGCCCGGCAGCATCATTTTTCAGGTTGTAGCTTTTGAAAGCGCCCTCATTGTTTCCGTTTCTCATCACAGGCTTAATTTGATTAGACAACCCTTATCTTTTTTTTCGGCCCGTAATCATCCTTCGGTTGGGCGTCATCTTTGCTCTCAGCCTTTTTTTTTAGTGACCTTCCCAGATAGACCATCCGTAAATAACGGCCTTTGCTTACCGGTCCAATCATATTTATGTACCCTAGGGCTGTGCGCGTATCCGCAAACTTCCTTCTCACGACAATATACTCGTTCATCGACAGTTCTCTTCTCTTTCTGCATTGAAGTACATCATCCTTCATTACTTTTTCGTTTCTCTCGCCTCCTATGCTTAGCGGCTTCAATTTCCAAGCTGGACCTTGTTCTCATTCTTGGCATCGGTGACCATTAGCTTTGTTTTTTTCCTGATTTCACTCGTCTAAGTTCGTGAACTGGATTTTTAAGACCCTAATATTTTATTGTTCTAAGCAGATTATCGGTCTGCGGTAGCCTGCCCTATGTGGTGAGACTGCCATCTATTGTTGCATAGAAGCAACGTCTCCTTGCATGTTTGCAGTGGTTGGTGTCCGTGCTTATGTAGTCTTACAAATTTCCACAGAATGGTGCTATTTCGTGTCATCCTCATATGTGTTTTATCTGAAGCGTGATTGAAACCTTATTTTTTCAAATATTCAAAAACCACTTTTAACAAATTTTTCCTCCGGTTTGTAGTCTGATTGGTTTGCAGTAGCCTGTCCTGCCATCTATTGTTGCCTAGAAACAACGCCTCCTTGCATGTAGTGCAGTTGTTGGGGTTGTTGCTTATTTAATGTTGCCATTTTCCAAAGGATGGCGCTATTTCGTGTCATCCCCATATGTTGATGCCGAGGTTGGTTATTGGAATATCAGGTAGCTTCGTATGCATTTTATCCAAAAACCACGTTGAACAAATTTCCCTCCGGTTTGTAGTCTGGCTGATTGGTTTTGAATTGAACAAACTTTTTCTCCGGTTTGTAGTCTGGCTTATTGGTCTGCAGTAGCCTGCCTTAGATGGTGGGGCTGTCATCTATTGTTGCCTAGTAACAACGCCTCCTGGCATGTAGTGCAGTACTTGGTGTCCTTGCTTACGTAGTGCTGTAATATGTTGCTAATATGTTGATGCCGAGGTTGCTTATTGGAATATCAGGGTGCTTCGTATGCATTTTATCTGGAGCGGGATGTAAGTTCCTTTTTTTAAATATCCAAAAACCACGTTGAACAAATTTTTCCTCCGGTTTGTAGTCTGGCTAATTGATCGGCGGTAGCTTGCCCTAGATGGTGGTGAGTAGAAACAACGCCTCCTTGCATGTAGTGCAGTGATTGGTGTCCCTGATTATTAAGTGTTGCTATCTTCCTCAGGATGGCTGTATTTCGTACCTGTTTCGTGTTATCCTCATATTTTGATGACGAGGTTGAATGTTGAAATATCTGGCAGCTTCGGTTGCATTCGCATATCTGGAGCAGAGTGATAGCAGTGATTGGTGTCCTTGCTTATTAAGTGTTGCTATCATCCACAGGATGGCTTTATTTCGTACCAATTTCGTGTTATCCTCATATTTTGATGACGAGGTTGAATGTTGAAATATCTGGGAGCTTCGGTTGCATTCGCATATCTGGAGCAGAGTGATAGCAGTGATTGGTGTCCTTGCTTATTAAGTGTTGCTATCTTCCACAGGATGGCTGTATTTCGTACCTATTTCGTGTTATCCTCATATTTTGATGACGAGGTTGAATGTTGAAATATCTGGGAACTTCGGTTGCATTCGCATATCTGGAGCAGAGCGAAAGCCTCTTTTTTGTACAAATATTCAAAAACCACTATGAACGAATTTTTCCTCCGGTTTGTAACCTGACTATACACTGTACTATGCCACCTCTATGATAATAGAATAGTTGTTTAGTTTTAGGGCAATATGTATTTTTTTTTTGAAAATCCTTACCATTCATACCCAGTTGTACAAAAAATATCAATTGTCTGCTATTATATAGTTATAAAGCTAGTTACTTGGTGATCTAGTTACTTCATACTCCAAAAAGGTACACAAAAAAGACTGTTGGATTTTTTGTCAATTGAAAAAGTTGTCTACGCACATCATACCAATTCAGTAGTTACTGGTAATGCAAAAGGTAATGAATCGACTATCGAAATGACTGTATACTGGTAACGCAGACAGGGGACAATTGACTTCCCCAATGACAAACCCATGTTAAATTCACCAGTCTAGGGCATGAAGTGGTAACTAGTGGTACTTACAGGTAATTAGTAAAATATCTAGTTCATCACCAGTTACTCGAACTACTGGGTAGTTTTTACAACGAATATGTATTTCTGTAAAAAATTCAAAAATATGTGAGTAATGGAATTGAATTTCAAATATTGACATTTCAAACAAATATTTTTTTTTGTATGCAGCAAGTAGACATATACAGTGGATATCGGATATAAGAAACTCAAAAAAAAACTTGAGATTTCTTTCTTATATGCGTTTGTTCTTATATGGAATTATCGGATATAAGAGAGTATAAGCTCGGTGTTTTTGATAATCTTTCTTATATGCGATTGTTTTTCTTATATGAGATGTGCTTATATCCGATATCTACTGTAGTTATTTCTCAGCTCATACATGGAAGTTGTAACACAAACATGATATTGATTTCAATATCAGCCCGAAGCGGATTCCCTGCTACGTAATAAGTTTCCTGTCTGATTTTTTCCTGCTTCATGTTTCCTTTTGCACTTAACTTAGGGACTACTTAACATTACACTGAAGGAGTATTTAAAAGTTCATTGTTCATTTTCTTTTCATTAATTTTTTGCTCTCTTCCACATACAGGATGAAGTTGAGTGCCGTTGCGAAGGAGAAGCTCTATCCCGTGTACCACAGACATTAACTGTACCATTGCAAAGGCTAACAATTGCCTCGGCTGGTTTGCCACGTCTACGAAATACAGCTTTAAAGGTTTACAATGCATCACTGTCGGATATGTAAGTTTTGTTTTTGTGCAGCCTGTTATGTTTCTGTTGTTGTTGGTTTTGGCTTTTGTTTTATAAGCTGAGAGAATATGGGTATCAATATGTTGTTTTGCTTTTAATTTTTTCCCTTTCGTTCCCATGACAGTGTACTGACAGATCTGAAATATCTGGAAACAATACAGGATGGTGCATTTGCAAATTTAAGACACTTGAGGACAATGTAAGTTGAAGAAAAGTGTAAAAAATTTTAAAAAATGTGGATTGAAATTTATAAAAATTTTATTTTTTTATTGTGTTTTTCCTTTCAGTTATATATCACATGCACCGAAGTTAGAGTATTTATCTAAGGATGTTTTTCAAGGTATCTCGGATACCATTAAAGTCATGTAAGTTACAAGTTTTGAATTCCGTAAGTTTTTATCTCCCAATTTTTATTCTTGGAAATTATGAAAAAATCTATATATAATTATTTGTTATCCAGTCTTTATTGATGTCATAAACTGGTTTGCAGGCTTTAAAAATATTTTATTGGAGAAGAAGAAAAAAACCTGTTATAAATTTATTTATAGCTGCGTATACGTTATGACAGCAGTTATACGCACCCCAGCACAAAACAAAAATTAAATGCATGGATTTATTTTATTTATGCTATAAATAGAATTAACTGCAAAACAAAAACTGCTATACTCACATATTTGCATTAACGGACTAGTATCAGAAAAAATATAGTGGACTTAATACAAATTTAATAAAGTAAAGTCTAACAGGGATACAACAAGCACGGGTTGTGAGAAAAAAATCCTTTAAATGATTTCGAAAATTTAAATAAATTAAAAATGTGAAAAAACGTGTGAAGTTCGGACAGATCGAACTTTTTATATCCGCCACTATAAGATAAACATTTTAAATGTCTAAAATCGATCGATACTTTTATATGGGGTTTGTGCCATGGTTAATTTTTGCCAGGAGAAAACAAAATTTCAGACGAAAGACACTCAAATTACATGGACTTATATAGAAAACCAGTGAGCAGGGCAGTATAGTCAGACGGGGCTGACCATACGATACCCTACATAACTACCACGGAACTCTAACTTTCTGCCGGTGTTTATTACGAGCCTGGACAATATTTCGTAATATTTCCACCCTCTTGCCCCATTAGAGGTCAACAGCACCTTTTCCTTACACTGACATATTTTCCGAATATTACTAATATTCAGTCCTTCTAATTACTTGTCTATATTCCCTTCGGCTTCCAATTATGGCCTATAGATCGACTCGAAAAAACACAAAAATTAAGTTTTCGGTCCATTTCATTCCAAAATGATTATGTGATCATCACTGCAAATTATAGGCGTTGTCCTTGACCATAACTGGAATCCCATGGAAAATTTCAAAGCAATCAGCGCTATAATTCCACCATCTAGTGTGGTAATGGGTTATTAAATAATATCTCAGTGTGTAACTCCCACATCCGAATACATACGACCATATAATTGGTATCAATTTAAAGGTCAACCACTCCTCTTGAACATACTGTCAACTTTTCGGGTCTAGGACCTTCAGGGGCAAATATATACGCCAAAGAATACAAATTTTGTAATTTGTCACACAAAAGTCAGGGTCCATTTGATCCGCTTAATATTGACCGATCTTTATTAAAACAGGCATACTTATTCTTTGGCCAAATCCCCTTGTCCATGCAAAAATTCGGTGTTTGGGCCATAATTTCGGCCTCTTGAGTGACCGGAAAAACCGAACAAAATAAAGTTTTTGGACCATTTCATCCCCTAAATATTAACCGATCTTTTCCAAAAACAATAGGGGTCTTCATTGGGCAAAACCCATCCTAAAAACCGAACATCGAACATCGTGTTTACAAATTATAATGGACAGACGGACGGACGGACACACATGTCTAGATGGACTCAGCTAGATGAGATATGACGATCGGTATACTTAAAGGTGGAAAATCTAAAATCAGGCGGGACCATTAGAATGGGGCAAAAAAACAGTGATCGCACAACTACCACGGAACTCCAACTTTCTGCTGATGAAATATTGCCCGTATTCCGAGCCTGGGCAATATTTCATCTTGTCCGGTTAGAGGTCAACAGCACCTCTCGAATATTAGTAATATTCAGTACATCCGTTCTATACTAGTCCAGATTCCCTTCACCGTGTTTTGGTGTTTGGCTTATAATTGTGGCCTATATATCGACTCCAAAAAATTAAGTTTTCCTGACCACTCTATCCCAAAATTATTATCTGATCATCACGGAAAATTTTAAAGCGATCAGCGCTATATTTCCGCCCTCTAGTATGGCAATGGGCTACTAAATAATATCTGAATGCGTAAGGACCTGTAATTATTTATTAATTTTATACTATTGACCTATTTGCGGCCTCTGGAGCGATCCGGAAAACCGACAAAAATTAAGTATTTGGTCAATCTTTCGATCTTTTCCAAAAACAAAAGGGGTCTTCTTTGCAAAATTTTGTGAAGTTTGGTCCATAACTGTGGCCTGTATCGTATTTAAACCAAACCCAAAAACCAAAAATGGGATGGTACCAATATATAGAGACTATATCGATATATCCAATTTGCAATACTAAATTTCAATCAATTTCCTAAATATTGCGAGCTCTAACGAGATTTCAAGAATCAGACGACCACGAAATTTTATATAAACAGTGAGGAAAGTAGTAAAGTCGGACTGGGCCGACTATATGATACCCTTCACCACTTTTGTTATATATCTATATCTGAACCGAGGTACGATCAGTACTTTGTATCAATCGGAAGATCATGTTCCAAGATGTTTTTTTCAACTTGGTCTTTCCATCTAATTCGTGGCCTTCCCCTTCTACGGGAACCATCAGTAGGCTCGTTTTTATATGCCTTTTGAGCTGGGGCATTTTCATTCATCCGCACAACATGGCCTAGCCACCGTAGTCGCTGTAGCTCAATACGACTGACTATGTCGATGTCCGCGTATAAATTGTAAAGTTCGTGGTTCATTCGACGCCGATATTCACCGTCGATGCAGATCGACCCGGAGAATTTTTCTTTCAAACATCCCAAGAGCTGCTTCATCTGCTTGCGCAATTTCCACAGTTGGTCCGAGTCTACTGGACGTTTTGCGCGTTGATACCATCAGCTTGGTATTCTCGCCGTTTACTGCCAGACCCACTTAAAGTTATCCTGCATAGCCTTAATAATTTTGCAGGAATGCCGAACGCAGACATGGCTTTAAACACCTCTGAACGGATAGGGCTGTTGAATGCGGCTTTATAGTCCACAAATAGGTGGCATGTGTCGATGTGTTTTTCGTGGGTCTTTTCCAGGATTTGGCGCAGAGTGAAAATCTGGTCAATGGTGGATTTACCAGGTCTGAAGCGGCATTGGTAAGGTCCAATGATGTCATTGACCATTGGCTTCACTCGTTCACACAGCACACTGGATATCACTTTATATGCGATAGGAAGGAGACTTATTCCTCTATAGTTGGCACATATCGTATTGTCTCCTTTTTTTGTGCACGGGACACAGGATACTGAGGTTTCAATCATTGGACATGCATTCATCTAGCCAAATTGTACTAATCAGCTGGTGAATACTCCTAACCAGCATCTGGCCACCAGTCTTGAATAGTTTGGCTGGTAACCCATTAACATTCAGTACGCTATGCCAAAATTCGTGCAAATGAAAAGATTTCGAAGGACTTTGGTACACCATTTACCTAAAATCGGGCGAAACTTTATATGGGAGCTATATCTAAATCTGAACCGATTTTCATGAAACTTGGTACACATCATTCTAGACTGTGACGCTGTGCCAAATTTCGTGCAAGACGAAATATATGTAGGGACTTTTGTACACCATTTACTTTAAATTGGATAAAAATATATATGGGAGCTATATCTAAATCTGAACCGATTTTCATGAAACTTAACACACATCATTCTAGACATTACGCTGTACCAAATTTCGTACCCCATTTACCTTAAATTGGATGAAAATATATATGGGAGCTATATCTAAATGTGAACCGATTTTTCAATAGGGTTCGTCCTTGGGCCAAACAAATGAGCTGTGCCACATTTCATCCAATTCGGACATGTACTTTGCATAAATCGACTCAGAAAGTGATTCTATGCATATTCTCAAAAGAAACCATGGGTCTATCTCGTTTCCTTTTGCCTGCACAAAGACATAATACAGGGTATTATTATGTAAAATTTCAGGATGTTTCGGATCATAGGTGGGGTCTGTGGAGGTACTAGCAGGCCAAAAAGTTATTGGTCCTGGATCAACATTTATAGCACATAATACTACTCCCACAAAATAGTGTTGTAGTTTAAATCGCACACACATTTTTCTCCACATTTCGCTGACTAACTTAATTAGAATGTGTGTATGTGTGTGTGAGTGAGTGTCAGTGACAACCACTACTAAAAACTAGTTGACAACAAATGTAAACACTTATAATTTAAACACTTTTACAACTACTAAACTTTTTGTTACAAGTTCAACAACAAACCAACCACTGAGAGCCAATATACGGCAGAATTAGGTCGGAACAAAAAACTAACCCATTAAACAACCAATTAATTTCAAGGACTAGAAAACATCCGGCTAGTTATGGAAAAAATCGATAATTACCATAATTTGAAATTTAAAACCATGTTGGGCGCGGTTAGTAATTTTGAAATTTAATATTGAACATTTGACCTATTACACGCTGTATTATATCATTACAAAAACAACATCATGGAAGCATGATTGATATGTGGATGATGATGATGGGAGTGATTCATCAAAAGGACTAAGAGTCCGGACAAGTAATTATTGTTAGCGGAAGTAATGACTGGTATAATATCCTTACATACTAAGCGTGTGTAGACAAATTAAATTAAAAAAAGCATGACATAAGTTTGGGGGGTTATCATATATTAAGAAAGGATAGATGGCGTCTTAAGGATGACAAGTGGTTTTCTTAATAATGAAGGATATACACACAAGGATAAGGTCAATGACCTATTGTCAAACACTTTTTATGTAGGAGTACATTTGAAGGATGTTATTAGTACATACAGAGTAAAAATTGATTTAAGGGAAACCCCTCCCCCCATTCTCGATTTTAATTTTTCAAGATTTTTAATGGGCTACTAAATCAATACCAACGCTTGTTAAGGTTTGTAACTTTACACATATATAACTGAAGATTTAAAATAGAAGAAAAATAATTTACAAAAATTGTTTGTTGTTGTTTTTTGTAATTAAAGAAAAGTCCTTATTTTTGATGGCGGGCATGATAACTCCTCACTGGAACATCGGAATCCGAAAATTCCAACGGTGTTAAAAAGAGTACATGTCTGGCTC